AATTCAACAGAAGGACGCACATCTCCGCTCTCGAACATCTGTCTCTTATACACATCTAGATGTGTATAAGAGACAGGTCTTGTGCAAACACCGGCAAAACTTTCGCTTATCCTAAAATTTGAGTAAACTTTGTTTCTTCTTCAATTTGTTATGAATTCTACTATAACTAACATCCATAATCATAACATTCTACCTCCATGCTTCAATAACTACTGTATCTGAGATCATTATAAACTCACTTTAAATATCAATTAGATATGCCATTTAAGCCAAAGCGTCCAGGGGCACTCGGCAGCTGGACCCCGACCGGGGAACTTTAGTGGTCCCTTGGCCCCAAGCCACTGTTCATGCCTTCGGCACTCATTATGTGTCACCCGATCTTACTCTTTGAAATTTATCAAGGTTGACAGGTATGGGCCTGGGTGATAAAACCCCAAGAATAGGACAAGGTAGTTTTGGTAGAATATGTACTTTTACAGTACTCACCTTGTATCTCCAATAGAAGCCACACATCCTCCACTATCACTGACAAACACCACATTCACTTCCCTGTAATCAAGAGCTTTTCTTCCATCAAGACGCTGCCATAAAAGATAATGATGATATTAAGTTCCAACTTAGTGATAAAGTGACAAATATACATTATCAGTGTTAATCCTACAATACACAATTTAGCCACACTGTATTTAGCCATCTTACAACTACAATACAACACAACAAATTCCATTATATTGCATGTTCTTTTATATGTAGTAGTATGAGAATATTCATCACAGGTTTAATTTGGTCTTCCTTACTTAAAGAATGATAAGATACGGCCCTCCGAAAAGGGAAAATCTATTGTTTCGGTGATTTTGGGTGGCATATACGCTACCCAAATTTCAATGGTATTTCTTGAAACAGGGGCGAATTTCAGTCTATTTAGCAATTTGCTTTTATCTTTGTTATTCCAGGAGATAGCTTAGTAAAAACTGTACAAATTTAAAGGAGCCATTACCGGCACGAAAAAGGGGGTGTGGTACCTAAATTTCAAAAGTTCATAACTTAAAGACCGCTTGGAAATTGGAGCTGAAATTTTTTATTCTTTCTTTCCACATATCAAGGTATTTTTACAATTTTTAAAAGGAAAATCCAAGTGGCCCATGTCACATGGGAACTTTTAAATTTCTGGCTGATTTGAGCCGGAATGACCCTTTGTATTGTATTGGCAGTCATGAGCATTGTAATTTCCAAGTCATATCTGTACTCTACCAATACATTTATTACCCTCAAGTCTCTGTACATTGTAACTATCTTACAATTTTAATTTGTATTTTACCAATACCTGTATTATCTAAAAAAAAAATTTGTAATTATTGTTACTTCTGGCAATGTTTGCAATGCAAGTAACCACTAAAGAAAAACAATGTATAAAAAAAGGTACAATCCTACTTATCAAGAAACAAAACAAACAAAAATTTCTTTTTTATGCTACATGGTGGGGTGGAGGTGGGCGTGGCAGTGTGGATTCGCCCCTGGCTTTACAAAAACGAAAATGTGCTATCTATACAAGTTTGAAGCTACTTTAATGATGATGATGCATTGACATAATTAATGTTGAAATAGTGAATCCTGTGTATGAATTCAAATACTTGGAGTATGTATTATACTACAGTATCTTATTAAAAGCTACCAGTAATTGAAAGACTTTTTTCTGAAACACTCTTCTCCTCATTCCCCACCTCCTCCTTTCTCCAGAAAGAGTGCACAATAAAATTATGATTTTGTCACTTTTATGTCATCTTCTTAAAAAAAAAAGTAGTACACTTCCCTCCACACACTCCCCCACCACCACCAAACCCACCCCATGGTTTAGTCGCATCCAAAATTAGACTGTATGGAGAATATATCCTCTACTCTATGCAAAAATTTGGCATAGATGGGGCTGTATTGGCCTAGGGCCTAGCACATCATAATACTTAATAGTAGAGGCCTAGCCTATGTTATGCCATAGCTACGTGAGTAACTTACCTTTCCTACCTTAAGACCATTCAGAACAAAATCAGAAGATATGCTAGGTATAGGGATTTCCTTCATTTTGTTCGATTAGTAATACAGTAGTACCTCTGAGTTGAAATTAAATTTAGTTATTCGAAATTCTTCTCGCGTGTCTCGCCGCTCATAAAAAATGATCATGTTTATATAGAAATTCACTCTGCTCTCTGGCGGCACCTGTGTCACAAAAAGCGTCAACAAGTGTGTTTAGAAACTAAAATACACATAAGCCAAGGCAATTCAACAGAAGGACGCACATCTCCGCTCTCGAACATACCGCGTGCGTACTGTCAGTCCCTTGATCTTTATACTGTGGCGGCATCGACAATCCGATACTAGTTGCGAGTACAGCCGTCAATTATTAGGCATGCGTGCCATTCGTTTTATTCGTTTTTATTTTATTAATTTTGGCTTCTTCGCAATGTCTGTTACATCTGATTTTTTTTTTACCGCGAGCTTGTTAGGTACTTCTATAAATTGCAATTTGATTTGTGAAAATTGACCAAGAAAATGGAAAGTTATAGCAATTTAAAATTTAAGAATTTTATAAAATTTCATGTTCTTATGTATCATTAATCTGTCATTTTGACAATGTTGGCATAGGGTGCCGAGAACCTTGCCGAGAAGAGAGAGTCACTTGATAGGTTTCCACCTCTCTTTGTGTGTGTGTTTCATCCGAAAATAAAATTTGAATTTGAATTTGAATTTGAATTTGAATTTGAATTGAATTGAATTGAATTGAATTGAATTTGAAGTTACCGTACTCGCGCGAATAAGCGCCCCTCTCGAATACCCGCCCCCCTCCTAACGTGAAAATTTCCTTAAGCGCCTCGTCTGAATAAGCGCCCTTTCTAATAATAATATCATAAGATTTTCTTTTTCAAGTTTTAGCAAGTCAATAATCCAATCAATCCTGGGACCGTGGTTATTGGCATGATTTGAGCTGCAGAGTGGAAATACATTCTTCTTAATAGGTCAATATCAAAAAGAGGATATTTCTCTTGGACAGATGAGGGCTCCGATCCCTGGACAGACAGTATAATTCCAACTTTATACTCTTTTTACATATTTGTCTATGCCTATTCCTAGAAGGGAACCGATGACAAGCCTTGTAGGCGGCCCGAAATAAAGAAAAAGAAAAAAAAGAAAAAAATCCCTGTTGGGATTCATGAAGTCTTATGGCTATAATTTGGTCCTAAATGTGCTGCTTTTCGACCACAATATTAGGGATTGGCAATCAGAATAGCGTTATTTGGATAGGTAAATTATTTTTTTTTTACCTTTTGGTCCAACGACCTACAGTAGTCGTTCATCAGACATCAGGGGGTCCAAGCCTGTCCGATGGGGGAGGGAGGTAATACCCTCCCTGCCTCCCCAGCTGGCACACCACTGCTCGCGCCCCCACCCGAAAAAATCATTGTCAAGTAGTTGAAAATCACCTAAAATCACTATTTTGGGAGTTGGCGCCCTTATTAACCGATTATCGAGCCTCCCCCCCCCCTTTACAGTCCCATCAGCATCCTCCTTTCAAGACTTCTAGATACGCCACTGCCACTGTCCTGTGTTCAATTCCTGTCAGTGTTGGAGGATTTTTCTCACGACGATACTCGTAGGACAGTGATATATTCGCTATTGTCAATTATTGGTGCATGCGTGAGTGTGCCTAAATAAATTAAAACAACAATGACAATGCCACATCCAACCATATTCTTGGGCTGGATGGAGAAATGTAGGTGAATTGCCTTGCTGAAGGACACAAGTTAAAATAAAAACATAATTCTTTGAAAAAAAGAAACAAAAAAAAAAAAAAAAGTTCATGGTATGCTACCATCACTTCCGTTATTATTGCTATGCTTTCATTAATTATCATTATTAGTATTTATATTAACCATCCTCAAGAGAACATTTTGTCGTCATTGACAACAACGGATGCTGACAGAGTACAGACGTTGACAGTGAAAAGATTACATTAATACCTGTCTCTTATACACATCTAGATGTGTATAAGAGACAGGCCCCTGGCTTTACAAAAACATTTAATTAACGTGTAATGCAAATGGATTTGTATACACAATAGAGTATCCTAATTTTAATAAATTCACTTAACATATAAATAAACAATAGGTACATGCAACGTACACATCTCTTCATACATTTATATTTTGATTACAACCTTATTACCTATTAAGCATGCCATATTAACCCACAACCTCATTCCCCATTACAACCTATGATACAATTACCTAATTTGTTGGACGATATTTAACAAATCATGTTATCACAAAGTTTAACTTTTACTGTACCTTCAACAAATACTTCACTGCTGATTTCCGTACATTTGCAAATACTTGCCATTTGCAAATAGTCTTAGTTGCATACTGGAATGTCTATGTCTAGTTAAATTCACAGCAAGGTTTTTTTGTTTGTTTAGCAACTTTGTAACGATTTGCTAAATATACAAATATTTTTTCCTTATGTGATCTCACTGTTTTTATAAAACATAGCATTTTCCATAAACCCACTGGTAAATAATAACAAGTAGATTGTGTTGTTATTTTTAAGCTGTCCTCATTAAAACTCTAAAGAAGAAAGCACAATTAAAGTTATTGCAAAGTTGAAACCAATTTTATAATTATGCATGTTGTGTTATGCTCACAATTTCCCCTCCTTCAAATATCTGTGACTGTAACGCCTTTTATATATAACTACCAAGCATTGTATTTACCGTACCTGTGTTAATGTAAACTACAGTACCAGGTATTGGTAACTATTGTACCTGGTAACTACCAAGTGTATTGGTAACTATTCCACTTGGTGTCAGTAACTACCAGGCATTAGTAACTAGTGTACCTGGTGTTGACTACCAGATACTGATAATTATTACCTGGTAACTACCAGGTATTGGTAATTAGTGTAACTGGTAACTACCAGGTATTGGTAACTAGTGTATCAGATGTCAGTAACTACCAGGTATTGGTAACTAGTGTACCGGATGTCAGTAACTACCAGGTATTGGCAACTAGTGTACCTGGCGCCAGTAACTACTGAGTACCAGTAAATATCACAGATTGGTTTCTGAATATATTGAATAACACTTATACTCTATTTGCAGTTCTACAGGGAATATGGATTGTGGATTACTGGTAAATACAAAGGAATTTATTGAGTTTCATTGTAAAATATGTGGAGAGTTACTTAGTGGATAGGATAAGGGCCACAATCAACCCATATAATCCCAGAACCTCAGCAAAAATAAGAACAAGAATCATTCCAACGTAAAGTCTTGGTTGTTGTGCAGTGCCCCTAACACCAGCATCTCCAACTATACCTATTGCAAAACCAGCAGCTAATCCACTTAGTCCAACACTGAGGCCTGCTCCAAGATGCAAAAAACTCCTATAATACAAAACACAAACAAAAACAAATTAAATTATGTTAGCTTTGTTTTCAATATATTTTAATCCTATTGTACAATTGTAAATGTACAATTATTATAGCTAGATTTTTATTTTAGATAACCATGTTAAAAATATGTATACTCTTACACACACAATCAGTGATAAAATCTAAATAAAACTTTAAAAATCAAACTTTAAAAATCAAACGTTAAATTTTTCAGTAGTTTGCAATAAGCATTTAACCGTAACTACTGAAAACAGTTACTTCAAGAGATTCAGTATATAAAGGTAACCAGCATTATAGATAAGCTATCATCATATACAACACGCTATTAGGTCACATCACAAATATATTATCAATGTCAATATAAATAGAATGTGCTTACTGGTACAAAGTGTAATTGTCCTCACTAATTGAGTTTGCAACAACAACAGCAACAACAACACCGTATATTGCTATGATACCAGCCATAATAACTGGAATAACTGATTTCATGATAAGTTCAGGCCTCATAACACTCATAGCTGCAATTCCGGTTCCACTCTTCGCCGTTCCATATGCAGCACCAAGAGCTATGTGTGAAAAATAAATTCTCAATTTTATTGGCATGAAAAAAATTGTTTGGTACCATTATTCAAAAATGTCCACAATTTGTCCTATCAAAGGCTAAGTAGTAAAATATTTTTTGTTAAACTGTTGAGGAAGTTAGTGCTCGTAATATACAGGATGGTATAAAAATAGCATACTTTCATATAAAAAGGGAGATTATCTATTTATACTTTACAATAGCTGGCAGAACAATCATGCACAGCTAAAAAATGAAATAATTATGTCTTGGCTGCAAACGATTGATATTTCTTGCTTCAAGTATTTTTAATGGTTTAAACGTTTTCTTTTCAAGTACAGGTGTATATGCTTTTTCTTTATAATTTCTTTATAAATTTTGAATTTTATGTGAATGAGATTTTGAAGCTGATTGAATTCTCTGTATGGGATGGTGCAATCACAGAAACAGTATGTTCTACTGTAGTCCTACTCAGTAGGGCTATAGAACATACTGTAACTGCGTATTGCCCTGTTCAACACAGCTTCACCTGCAAATATTTTAAAGAAATTACTGACAGTTGGGAATTCTCTTCAAACCATTATAATATTAAACCAGGAAATGAGTTTTGTTTATGTGATTACTTCATATTTGCTGGTACAGTGAAATATGCACTTAACATACCCTGTGGGACCAAGGGGTGTTTTGTAAACTGAACATTTTGTCAAGTAATATAGAGTATATCATGCCATATAGTGTATTATGTACCATAACTATGCCTACAGTTGTCTAGCCTAAATTATAGCAGTAAAGAAATGAAAGTATAAACATAAAGATCTGATTGTGAGAAATAGCTGTTGAGCTTTAATAGAATTTGAAATAAACAAATGATGATGGTACACATACGCGTACCATCATTCCATTTTAAAAGGTCTACAGCAATTTTTTAACGCAGTGGCTGTGCTTATGCAGAGGACGAAGTTGTAAGCTTTGGTTTATTGCTTTGTATTTAATTAGTAGGCCAATTTATTAATTTTACTTAGAATTCGCATCCAACAGTAAGTAACCTCCTTGCTGATAACAGGATGGATGTTGCTTTACACACCCAGTCTCAGGGAATGGAGACTTTTTTTACTAATGTGAAAGAGTCCTGCTGTCACAGAAAGCAAACACCTTAACCACTGAAGCCGGCCACTCGCTGCATCGTCCAACCGTCACACGACCAATCCAACTACGCTCCATGCGAGCGCTAGATGACGCGATACAGCGACGCCGCCTGCTGATTGTCTGTGGTCGTCTGAACGGATCGTCAATAAAAAAGATCAATTGCACGCGCTGTCGCGTACTGCGCGCAGTTAGTGCCCGCTTTAGATACAACTCCACTCCATTGCGTATGCATTATGCACTTGTCAATTGTGGCCCCTGCTTTCCGAACACAGACCCAGTGGTGACTTAGCCGGGGATGTAGTTTACTTGCATGCATGTGAATGCGGGGCATCGTATAAACGTACAACCCCAGCTGAAATTATATTATTTCAACATTAATTCTACCGATGAGGTGGTGTCCGTTGGTTCACCAGACTCAGTTCCCAAAATTAATTAATTTTGTAAGCTTTGGTTTATTGTTCGTTTTGTGCACCTTAGTCCAACATTTTCAAAATGACAGTTTAATGTTAAATATTTTAAGAACATGATTTTTTTTATAAAAATTGTACTAAAAACAATTGACAAGTGGATGTTATGACTATCCACTGAGCTATACTTTAGTTCAAATTCCTGGTGCTCACGAGTCTTTGAAATATTTGTTTTATTTTGTAATAAATAATAATAATATGTCATTATATAGCGCTTTAGGCACAGAGAGAGTTTCGAACCCCCGACCTCAAGGTTGGCAGTCCAAGCCACAACCGATGCGCCAACCGCTTGAAATAGTTGAAAAATTCCAAGTCAAAATAATATTTCACTAGTTCTGTAAGGCCACGGGAATGAAAGTTGTAGGTTTGCGTCCACCGCCCGCATGCCTAAAAAGCTACCGCACGAAAATTTTCATTTTGAAAAGTTCATTATTTTGAAAAAAAAATATACTTCGTTTTAAACACCGAGCGAAGGCAGGCCTGGCCACATCGCACCATGATCGTCTGCTGAGGTCATTTACGGGTCAAATTGATCTTTCTGACCAATAAGAAATCTCGTATGTTTAAAGAAGTCTTAAATTTTATTTATAAAAAAAATAATGAATAATGAAAAATGAAAAAATGCCCCATGTGTTTTCAAAATTTTTCGGACGCAAACCTACAACTTTCATTCTCGTGGCCTAATGTTTGAGTCTTGACTATGACAACCTCTTCTGCCATTTACAATACGCCAACTTTATCAAGGATAGAATGGCCGCTAGGAAGTTGCAGTGAGTAGGCTGAATCACCGAGTCTCATAAATGGTTTTTCACACATTTTTTATTTTGCCTGGGGGAGGGTGGTGTTAGGGTGAGGAGGCATGCTTGAGTTGTCTCTCAGCTCACCTCCATACAAAAAAAAATTTTAAAGCCTAGGCCTAGGCTACCCAGAGGGCCTAAAATGAGATCAACCTTACTCTTACTGTACCACAGGTCTAGTTAGGCCACCTGTACTGTAGTTATCAAGATATACTAGGCCTAGCCTGGCTATGCAGATCGGAATCCAACAGGCGTCATTTGCCCATTTTGTTTGTTTGGGAGTAAAAGGAAGGGTTACTTATAAAATACTCGGTACAGAGATACTTACCACTAAATACCATGGCGGATGTGGCTCCCATGATTCCGAAGAATGGTGTATATGCTGGTGCAGTATCAGTCATTTTGAAATTAAAAGCTTAAATAATGAACCTATAAAAGTTATATATTTGATAAATCTGGATAGACCACTGCCGATTCACATAAAATGGCGACCAAATAAAAGACGTTCAAGCAGAAAGGCTGACTGCAATGCACCGGATAGTGATATATGGCATTATAGTATCATATGATCTGTCATGTGAATCATTAGCATATTCATTATGCAATTAAAAAACGCCCTCTATAAAAAAAAGTTAAAGTACTAAATTGTAGGGTTTGATTGTAGTACCTTTAGTAATACATTTTAAATTCAAAACATTATTAAATATAAATACATTCATAATCTTATTTATCATTATAATAAACATAAAACGAACATTACTCTAAATAATGAGAGGGAGGCCATAATTATAATTCTAATAATAATTCTAATAATAAATTCTAATTCTAATAATAATTGTAATAATAATAATAATTTGGTCATAAAGTTTATCTTATCTTATTCAACGTTTAACTTTTATTGAGTCTTCTTCAGGAATGAAAAAAACTGACGATATACAAACTAAATTATCAATATTTTATTATAATTAAATTAATGCCACTTTATAGAATGAAATTTCATAAGATGAAGTTAATAATTCATAAGGTGGACCAAATCTATAATTTAAAGGTATTAAATCTATAACAATATTTTACAGCATATGCAATGATAGTTATAAACATACTAAGGAAATGTATCAAACATATATGTAGTAAGGTATACAGACATCTTATCACTTTTCTTGTGTTAAAACAGGCTGCAGTAATGTAGTTCATCATCCTAACCTTTTTCTTGGATTAACCTATTATGCTGTAGTAAGGTATTCAGATGCCTTTTATCACTTTTCTTGGATTAACATATTATGCTGCAGTAAAGTATACAGACATCTCATCACTTTTCTTGTGTTAACACACGCTCCAATAATGTATTCAGTCGTCCTAGCATGTTTCTTGGGTCTGTGACCAAACCTGCTGCTATCATAGCATTGTCAAATATCTGCGAAGAAAGACATATTTCTTGGAAAAAAAATCATCTATTGAATGTGTACAAATGAACACTTTAAAGAGGCGGTATCCATAATACATTTATGTTCAAATGTACTTTGCCAAAAGCTAAACAAAAAATGCTCTGAAACATAAATAGGTACACTGTATGTTCACAGTTGATGTTGTTTTAATAACATTCCAGTGAGTAGGTGCTGCAATAGAGAAAGCCAGATGAATATAATAGACAGTCTCTTTTTCAATTTGGCCAATCAACTACATCTAAAATTATTAACAAATGGCTTTTTACCTGTTCTGCTAACATTCGGGCAACTGGTGGATTACATGATTTCAGATCCGACAGAAGATGCATTAAATTATGTCTGAAATAAACAAGGAATAATAAAAAAACCAGATCATATAATAGTCTTATGTAAGTCATCAACTGTGTGGCCTATTATTCCTTCTACACTATACAGTTGAACTTGCCTAAGTCGAATCCAAAATGCCACTGTAATATATTGTCAACTTAGATAAAATTTGACTTACAAGATTGTTAATTAATGGAAAACACAACAATTTGGCATTTAAAATAAGATCAACTTAAAAATGATTTGACTTAAGCACAGTCAACTTAGGCAAGTTTAACTATATTTCTTATCTGCTGAAGTTGTCTTACTGTATATTTAGCTGAAGTGTTGGTCTAAGGATCTGCAATTGCTCTTCCTCAGAACGTGATTTGAGGGCGGTCTTCAAGAAATGACGAGCAGCTCCCATCTCTTGCACAGTTATCATGGCTGGGTGGTTTCCTATGTCTCCAGTTGCCTGTAAATGTGTAAGCAAACACATGCTTATAACTGTTTATAAAAATTAATTGTGATAGCTGATAAAAAAAAACACCGTGGCTAGAGATATGGTACTGTATTTCTACTTCAATTTGCTAAATGGCATCACGTCACCATCACCCAATGAAAAGCCATGATGTGCGTGACGTCATGTTTCAAGACTGGCATTGCAGATCACTCACGATGAGTGGTGAAATGCGAACGATATACAGTACTGGGTAATTAGAACATTTAAAAGGACAATACTGTTGGCCTACTTAGTACTGTCATCGATAAATAGGCGTATGGTTCCACTCAGTATGAGTCATGTCATTTATCTATATATAGCCATTTTCAAACAAGTACTGAATCCTGTACCAAACTCTTGGCATATGCCACTAGGCCTTGCTTAAATTCTTCGCTTGATGAAGAACCTAAGCAAGGCCTAGGCTTTGCTTGAATTCTTTCGTTAGGCCTTGCTTGAATTCTTCGCTTGGCGAAGAACCTAAGCAAGGCCTAGGCCTTGCTTGAATTCTTCGTTTGGCGGCAGCCCTGCTGTAGTGACAGATCGATCTGGTGGCATATCAGTCAAAAAACGAATTTCTCCATAGTCAAGTTCTCAACCCCCAAAATCTCATCCCAAGTTTTAGTCCAAGAAGCCTAGGTTAATATATATATTCAAAATTACCACGCTTTACAACCCGACCAACATATTCAGACACCTATTCTTAAACTTTGCTCAGCTCAGCCCCAACTCTGGTGGGGCTGAGGTGGGTGTGGAATACCTATTGGGCGCCCCCGTCAGAAAATTTCTGGATCCGCCCCTTGAATATTAGTGTCAAATTTGTTGAATATACTTCTGATGCAGGCCCATATAAACAGTATAAGAATCCTCTTATTTCCAGTAGATTCAGTTTTTTTAGTGCATGTGTTGTCATCATGTAAATAGATTAGACCAAAGACTGAGTAGAGACCTATTTCAACTCCCTTATAAGCGAAGGCATAAGCCAGCTGGCCTGGGCCTCATCCTGAGGATTCATGCCTTCCTTGATATGGATACATAGATAAATGACATGACTCTTATAATACTGAGTGGAACCCTTGCACCTATTTATCGATGACAGTATTAAGAAAATACTGTACTCTTGCCTGGCCAATCATGTGCTATTTTATATCATTCATCGCTAGTCACACATCACGCTGCTCACCTCACACTGTGGTGTGGGCAATCTGCAATTCCGGCTCTTCATTAGGTGATGGTGGTGTAATGCCATTTACCGTACCTTTAGCAAATTGAAGTAGATATATGGTACCATATGTCTAGTCACGGCATACAAAAATTAAATGTAAATATGAAATATCTGACACTCACTGAAATTATCAAATACAAAATTGAAGGAGCTTCCTGTTTAGGGTAAAACAATTGCTCAATTCTATTCCTAATTTTGAATATTAAAAATTGTGTAGTCTTTACCTTAACATCTAAGACCTTGCTGCCTAAAACCTCTTTTAGATACATGATCAGTGAGTCTGTTGATTCCACAGACAAACCTCCATCTTCTAGAGATAAAAAATTGCAATAAATCCTCATTTAATGTCCCAGATTTTACACATACTTATAAAAAACAAAATACATATTCACATGTACTGCAACATTAAATTCCACAAAGTCCATTTTTTACTTTGACACATTAAAACAAAATACACATAGAGCAAAATATTAGGAAAGTCTTTTAATAGTGAGGTTGGAAATATCCCTATAAACTGGCAGAGTGTTTTCTACAAAAAAAATCATTGATTATTATCAATTAATTTTTGTCAACATCATTGAATTGAGGTCCATGCTATTGACTTAGTTTTCAAATATTTTGTAATAATCATGAGTTTTTTTACCTATATTTGTTGAAAGTTTACTTTTAACAAAATGAAAGACTAATTAAAGAGTAATTAATTACCTTGCTTTTCATCTGTTTCTGTGTTGGATCTGGCAAGCAATTCATTCTCAGCAGAGGTTAACACTTTCTTGTCAAACTCTCTCAGCTGCAGCATAACCAGTTCATCATACTCATCAAAGCAAAACAGAACTTCCATACCAAGTGCCTTCATTCCCTGGTAGTATGGTGAGCTTTCTGCTAGCTCTCGACTGAAATCACAACATTACGTTAAATAGAAGAAAGGATAAAAATCCACCAAATTAATGTATACTGGTAATCAAAACCCAATATATCTGATGTACTACTTTTCCAACTATGTACCTAAGACACAGTATGATATCCATGATTTTCACTGTTCCCTACTCCGCACAAAAATCATTAATATTGCTAGATAACCTGGCAACATCAATGGATAACTGGGAATTTAAAAATTTAAAGGAAATAAAAAAACAAATAAATATTGTGATATTCAGCTTCCACACAGAAATAGCAGTGTTCCCAATTTTCAAAAAAACATATAATCTGATTGGGTGGCATCTCTTTTCAAAATTATATTTAAAAAATCATGCTAAATGAAATAATATTCACTGCCATAAAAAAATATAATCTGTATATTAACAATATGTAGTGAATATTATGCGATGTTCAAAAAAGTTAATGCAAAGTCAGTGTTATTGAAAATAAATAAAGAGAATTTGCACCATTCATTATACTTCATCCTCTCTCGGCTTGAGATCTATTGGCGTTTCCCATCTGTCTTTTAAAGAAACACTTATTCCACAATACATATAACCACAAACCCATTCTGTGCATTATAATTAATGTTTAGAGAGTTATGAGTTATTTTTAATCTTTTTCTCTAGATGTCCATGACCATTGTTATGTTAATGCTTGTCTGAAATTGTTATTTTCTATTTTTATAAGCATATAAATAAATGAAATGAACACAGTGCCAGATGATGATGGAAGGATAATGAGATATTACTTTGGAGCAGTGAGGAAGTAAATGCTCCTCTGGCCTGCTTTCATGCGGCTGCAGTAGTCCTGGAGGCTGCATCTTACCCCAGCATCCAAATTACTAGATTCATAACGAAGCAGTTTCGCAATCTCTTCCTGAAAAAACATAATACAGGTGTGAAAATCAGCAACAGAAACAACAAGGAAAACAACAACAGAAAAAACACCAACAACTGCAATATAATATCCAGATCTAGTAAACAGTAGTACAGTATGCCATCTACTTAATAATCAGTTGTCTGTTAAATGAGACTGTGTTGCACAGATGTTGCACACCAAAAAAATCAAAAGAATGAGGATGATGATGAGGAGGGTGATGATAGTGAAGATGATAATCAAGGATAATGATGATGGCGATGAGGATGGTAAACGATGATAGTGATGATGATGAGGATTATTACGATGAATATGATGATGATGACCATTGACGATGATGATGATAGTGGAGATGTTGATGATGATGTTAATGAGGATGGTGATGATGAAGTTCATGATGAGAAGGATTATGATGGTGATGAAGATGGTAGTGATGGTAGTGGTGATGATGATGAGGATGATTAAGATGAAGATGAAGATGAAGATGAAGAAGATGAAGATGGTGATGATGATGTTCATGATGAGGAGGATCATGATAGTGGTGGTGGTGATGATGGTAGTGATGAGGATGGTGATGATGGCAGTGATGAGGATGGTGATGATGGTAGTGGTGAGGATGAATAAGGATGATCATGATGAGGATGATCATGATAAAGATGATGATGATGATGATGATGTTGATAGTGGAGATGTTGATGGTGATGATAGTGGAGATGTTGATAGCAGAGATGGTGATAAGGATGAGGATGGTGATGATGATATTCACGAGGAGGATCATGATGGTGATGATGAGGATGGTTGTAATGAGGATGGTGGTGATGATCATTGATGATGATAATGACGATGAGGACGGTGATTGTGAAGATGAAGCCGATATCATGTTGACTGTAATATAGATGAGATTAAAAATTTTGATTATTTATGATACATGACATTGCAAGGCATGATTAGGCAAAAAAAAAAGTTGTGTTGCCCATCGCGACCGACTGCAATTTTTTCCAAAATATCGGGTTGGCATTTAAAAAAATTTTTTTTTTTAAATTTTGCTCAAGTACAAATTTAAGAAATACCCTCCGAAATTAACATTTAGAACATAAAATATGAAACAGACATGTATTTTTATCAAAATCGGGCCATATTACAGTATATGTATGCGTAAAATCGGTAAAATAGAAGGCATAATTTTGAGAACCGAGTGCGAAGACGATATATGCACACAAAATCGGATCTCTTCGCACTGAGTTGTCAAGCCACAATCAGATCTAGGCCTAGGCCTGAGCTAACCTATTCTTTACTACTACTGTACAACTAGTGGTTGCTTGAATCAAAAATCATATTCATACCTTACGGTAGACTGGACAATAAATAAAAGCAAGCATAATTCTAGCCATGGCTTTGAAACCGGTACATGGCTAGACATTTTCGGCTCCGTTACAGTTTTAGGCCAACCATAAACAAAATATTTTTCTCTTTTTTTTCTCAAAGTTTACTTCGATTGTATTACATAGAGGGCGCTTGGTTGGACAATTTCCATAGCTACAGTATGGTTTTGCTCGAACTGCCCATGCGCGATCGTGCGGATTGGATACACATTATTATTTTACATTTCGAAGCCAACAAAATCTTCCTTTAAACTGACATATTTTTGTTAAATTTATTTCAATATACACTTGGTTAGTATTTATTCCGTCATTACTTTGAATAGTTTTTTTTGGCAAGCTTGCCATTGTTTTATTGTGGTGCCTACGAGCTTTTTCCATTTAAGGGCAACACAACAAATTTTCTTTTGGGCATTTTTTTTTTTTTGCATACCTTTTCAATTTGATCGCCGGAAGAAACAATTCCTTCTCGTAAAAATGTTCCATAATCATCAAAAAAAGAATCATAACTTGATGGATGCTTAACAGAGTTGTCGACCAAGAATTTGACAATCCGAGCAGTCAGTACCCTATTCAATTTTCTGGTTTAAAAAAAAATAATCGTAATGTAACTTGAACTACATTGATAAAGAATACTGTTATTTTGGAAAAGTACAGCAAATAGCATTATGTACAACAATTTCCAGAATTGCTAGCAACATAGTATTGGCAAGTAGTATTGGAGGTGCTATTGAAAACATGGCACACATGCCAAATGAAATTTTAAAAAACCTGAACAAAATTATTACACTTACCTCAAGAGGGCGCTATCCTGTAAAATTTCACGGCTAAGATTCAGTGGTATATCCTCACTGTCAACGACACCTAAAGAAAACAAATCATAATTAATGGATATATGCTGCTGGGTGTGTTAATCATTGACTACACACCTATACATTCTATTAATTCTGTCTCTTATACACATCTAGATGTGTATAAGAGACAGATGCTATTGACTTAGTTTTCAAATATTTTGTAATAATCATGAGTTTTTTTACCTATATTTGTTGAAAGTTTACTCTTAACAAAATGAAAGACTAATTAAAGTGTAATTAATTACCTTGCTTTTCATCTGTTTCTGTGTTGGATCTGGCAAGCAATTCATTCCTGTCTCTTATCCACATCT